TCCTCCGTATTCACCAGACCTTGCTCCAACGGACTACCATTTTTTTCGTGATTTGGACAATTATCTACGTGACAAGAAGTTTTCTTCCCAGGAGGCAGTACAAAATGCTTTCACACAGTTTGTGCAGTCTAGATCGTCGGAGTTCTATCGCAAAGGCATTAATAACCTTCCCATTAGATGGCAGCAATGTATAGATAATAATGGCAACTATTTTGATTAAATAAATTTGTTAAAAATTTAAAAAATAAACAATTTAGATTTTCAGTACAAATCGGCAATTTCATACTTTAACCCCTATTATTTAACCAGATAGTTTCCTTAACTTGCTAAGCAACACCGCACAGTTTTTAGAGAAAAAAAATGTTTTGACGTTGACACTCCCTACCAGGCATCAACCGCCATTTTCTATCCTCATTCCTTTTTCATGCGTGGCAATAAGCACACCTCCACAACTCCGTGAAAATGTCAAAGCGAACAAACTTAGAAAAAATCGAATATTCTAAAAGTAAACTGAAATACTTGGAAAATACCTACAGATGCCAAACGTCGTCGGCGTTATAGAATCATAATATCATCGGACGAGTCGAACATTGATCGAGGTAAGATTTTTTTCTTACGCTCACAAATAATAAAAATATTCATTTTTATCATATAGCACTACTTGCTACTTCCGCAATTATAATAAATGTTCGCTTTCATACATCGCAAATGTGAATCTAACCTACATTTAATAAAACATCGGGTTAACTGCGAGTTATCCCCGATAACCAAATCGAACATGAGTGGACGAAAATGCGAACAGATATATTAATATGTGCATTTTACATGATTTATAATAAAACTGCCTCAGAGTTAACCGCGAGTTAAACACGATAATGAAATCGACTGCGAGTTGATTTTAATTTGAACAGTATTAGTATCTACGTGCTAATAAGTAACGTATATTTTTTAAATTAAATTACGTCGGGGTTAACTGCGAGTTAACTACCTACTATAAAATGATATCGACTGCGAGTCGATTTTAATTTGAACAATATGAGTTCTTATATGCTAATAAGCGAATATTTTTTTAAATAAAATTACGTCGGGGTTAACTGCGAGTTAACCACGATAATGAAATCGACTGCGAGTCGATTTTAATTTAAACAATATTAGTACCTACGTGCTAATAAGTTACGTTAATTTTAAATAATAAATTTATTCGTCAGGCTTAATCGTGAGTTAACCGCGATAATGAAATCGACTTCGAGCCGATTTTAATAATTATATTATTCTAAGAAAAGTATATTTAAAATAAAATTAAGTTGAGGTTAACCATGAGTTAACTGCGATAAGAAATCAACTGCAAGTTATTTAAATTTAAATTCCACATACGTGCAATTAATAAGTGTTAACGAAACACGCCGTAGTTAAAACTCAATTACCTATCTAATACAATTCTAAAGACGATCGGTAATGGCCAATTTTGTAATAATATTAAATATTTTGTAATGCTCAATTGATTGGTGTCCTCATCTTAGCTTGCCCAGCCACTAAATACGTAGGTACAGTAATTTACAAAGTTACTGGAAATTCAGAAATTTCTAAGTCTTCAAAAACATCACGGTAACTATGAAACAACCGTTTATCTTCCAGATATAATTTAGATATGATTTGAGTTGGTGGACAGACAATATTTACGAAGAAGAAGCACCATATCAATTACTAAGAATTGCATTATTCTTATATTATATTAGTATAATCTGATTGTGTTATATTGTTGCGAGTACGCAATACTACGGCGATCAGTTACATAAATCGCAAGAGTGGGATCCAATACCCCCTTAACGATTTAAGTAAACCAATTTGGCAATGGTGCGAAAAGCGCAACATAATTTTGTATGCATATGTGCATATTATTTAAATTCAAAAGATAATCGCGCCGATCATTGACCTACCAACGCGCTGATATAGAATCTAAGAAGACTAATCCCGACACCGAGTGGAAGTTGTCCTCTCGCGCCTTCCAGACCATTGTCAGATGTTTCGGACAACCCGAAATTGATTTCTGCATCCCGCACCAATGCCAAATCCGTTATTTTTGTCTCTCGGTTTCAGGAACTAGATGCATTTGCCGTAGATGCCTTTAGACTTAATCGGAATTCTATTTTTTTTCTACGCATTCCCACCATTCTTATTATTATCGAAATGCATACACAAAATTATTGATGACCAAGCAAATGGTACTCTTGGTTTTCCATATTGGCATTTCCAGCCATTGTTCCTCCTGTTGCAAAGCCTGTCGGTTTCCGACGTGATATATTTTAACTCGGGCGAATCATTATTAAATCTTATTGCAGGCGGCCTCATCGACTGCACACCAACCTTACCCTTTCTGCCGTTATCAGCGCGCCTTTCGCCTCCCGCGGAGTCCCACAAGAGGCGATGACTTTACTTGACCTTAGCTTCTCTTTCTTAAAATACAATTATTATACAATATAATGTGACCCTAAATCTCTGGTGGGAATTTTGCAATAATCAACAATAATACACAGAAATAAACAGTCTGCTTTATCTATTTTATAGCCTGAAACAGGTTTAGACGCCTTCATAAAAAGATTACTTAAGGGCGCATTTAGATGGAAACCCAGTGCACCAAAGTATAGTAATACTTGGAATCCCCAAGTCGTTCGCATTAGTTTCAACGTGGTTTCCCAACACAGAACTTCCTCTTGAAAAACTTACCAAAAAAAAAACATGTTATTTTACTTGCACTTTGTACTGCACACTGCGTACAAACTGGCATTGATTAAAATAAAAAACATACAAATATCTGATATTCCGATTAAAATTGCAATACCTGATTTCAAAAAATCAAATGTCTGCGCCTGGTCGCGTACAGCCCTCATTAAATTTTCCATATTTTAGAGAGGATCCAAGTATTTGCCTTGTCGCAGTTTTCAAACATTATATTTTAGTAACACAAAATAAGACAACTGGACGTCAGGGAACGCTCTTGGTGACACACAGAGCTCCCCACAGAGTAGCCACGAGTCAGACCGTGCGCCGATGTGTATGGCAGGTGTTGGATGCGGCGGGTGTGGACACAGCTGTTTTCGGCGCGCATAGCACGCGGTATGCCTCCACGCCGGCCGCGCGCGCGGCTGAGGTGCCGACAAAGCTCATACGCAAGGCTGCGAGCTGGACTCCGACATCTCACATCCTTTACTAGATTTTATAATAGATTAATACTTACTGAAGACGAACACACGTTCGCAAGAACCATTTGCTTACAACATAATAAAACGGCAAATTATACTATTCTAAATTAATAATAATAATAATCTTTATTTATAAAATTATTATATGATTGTACGATTTAAACATTGTTATGATTGTGATCTCAGGAGAAAAACCGTTATATGTTCATATCTATATAATATATTTTTAATAAAAATATGATATAGTCATCAATTAAGCCAATTAAGCAAAACTGAATACTCTAAAACTCTACCTGGTTAAATATTATATCGAGAATGAAGTGACGAAATACAATAGATGATCAAACGAACTTCTTGAAGTGAAATTCGATCACTATTATTAGTGAGTCGCTTCATTCGAAGATATAATCAACACCCTCCCTCCCGTGACATCGTCATATCAGAAGTAAAGATTCTAAAACTCCCAAATAACTTTTGCTTCCCACTCTGAGGGTCGTATTCTAGAACTCTACTCAATGCTCAAGTTAGGATTTGATAATGGTTTAAAGCACTCGAAATCATACTCAAGTCCCAGCCATTAGGGTCGTATTTCCAGTGCTTGAAATCATACTCAGATCCTGACTTGAGCAGACTTGAGTACGATTTTAAGCACTGGAAATACGACCATTAGGGTCGGGTAGGTCAAGGACTTGAGTACGATTTTCAGTGCTCACTGCAATACTCAAGTCCTGACTTGAATATTGCAGTGAGCACTGAAACCCGAATAAAAATAAATTTATGTAACATTTTTTATATATTCAAATTTTAAATTGTAATTTTTTTGTTTCCTATTATTATAATTATGCCAAATTTCTATTACTTACTTTAATTTTCTACCCTCATAGGGAAAATAAGAACTATAATTATAACTATAATTATAGGGAATCGAACCTGGCACATAGCTCTTAAGTAGTTAGGTTGAAAAATCTGATACTCAATTGTCAATTAGAAATAGTTACATAAATTATTTAATCTGTATTACCAATATTTTGGTACATTGAGGCGAGTTTGCTGATGTGACGGACAGGATACTGAAATAATGGAGATGGTTAGGGTAAAATAAGACGCCCGTGTACTTGGATGTTAACTTAAACGTATGTATGTAAGTGTAGATCGTTAAACTTTCTACACAACTAAAGACTCATTTATCAGAAATCACTGTAGTGTAACAAATCATCCTTCAATAAAATACCCTTCGACACACTTTGCACACCCTAAAGCAATCCAACACCTGTATTTCGAATAAATTTTCCCATCTATTTTCTAGAACTTTATTATAGTGTATACTATAATAAAGTTCACTAGCCATTCAATTTAAAAAAGTTTACTGTCATTGTCAGCTGTCACCCCATTGAGCCAATGTTGCTATACTATTATTTTTCTGCTTGCTTATACTAATTATAGGTACTTATGAAGAACTATCCAAGTACCTGTCAATATCTTCAACGTGTGGTTATAAATTAAAATATTGTAAATTACTCAACAGTTGATTACTAGTACACGCCAAAAAAGTTAGACAACATGTCGACTCATTATGCATTCATTGAAAACGTGTTGGCTAACATATGATGTCAGATTTAATTCCAACTTACAATCGGACTAAAGTGGCCATAAAACCAAATTTTCAGTCACAATTTTCTGCCACATCTGTATACGCTAAAATGGCAATTTTAACTCCCTAAATAAAAATAAAAAAACGAGGATGAATGAACGTGAAGTACATAATGTGATCACAATAGATAGTTAATTTGATAGGAGAGGTCGATAGATATTGTTATTCTGCAATATTTAGTATTTTCTTAGTGCCTTGTTAGTGCGTTGTAATTACAGGAAATAGTGATGGCGCTACCGTTGCCGATACCTCCGTGTGCAAAGAGGGATGGCATAAGTGGTATAGGATGCGAACGTTTTGATTATGCGAGTACGATGGCTACAACTTTGCTTGCACCGGTTAAAACCGAACGGCAGATCCTTGAACATTCAATGTCTGAGGACGATCCGAATGCAAATACACAACCCCCGACCGAAGGTGGCTCGGAACTCCGCTGGGGCCCGCGCCACAAAGGAGCACAGGAGTTGGCTGAATTGTATAGTCCAGGTACGTTCCAGTTAAGAGACTTCCTTTCAATAATAAAAGTGTTTATGATGTTTGTGTGGTGGAGTATTTCATTAAAAAAATATATAATTGTTTATTATTCCCATATGGATCATAACTTTTTTAAGGATTATAACTTTTATAACATACAAGGAACAGTACAAAATAACAATATTTCAATGTTTTGTGTGCTGGACTATGAACATGCTATTAAAATTCAGTTGTTCTACATAAATTCAGTATGTAGACCCTAGGGCATTTATTGGGTATAATTTTACAACCAAAAGTAAAAAGAAGAATAGAAAGAAGATTTAATCTAATTTCAGCTGCTATATGACCGACTAGTAATCATAAAGTTTCACATTTTCATTGAATTTTAAACTTAATCATACAATTAAATTATGATTTAATTAAAAAAAAACTATAGGTATGTCTTGTTAATAAATTCGATTCACAGTATTTTATGGACAAACAATTAAATACCAGCAGGTTGCCCTGCTGTCCTTACACCTCTGTAGGAATAATGATAAATTTTATCATAAAATCCAATTTTGGATGCACCAAAATAATTTGATTTTACTTGTCATCATCATTTGTACTCTTAAACTGTAATTTGCATTTTACCCAAACATATTATTTTGCAAATGCCAAAGAAATTTTATTAATAAAAAAACTTAAGACAATCTATTACAAATAAATGTTCGCACCTCACTATGCTGATAACAATAAAATAATAAAAAGTGACACTGCAACATTTCTCATATATTTTTCTTTAACATGAGAATCCAAAAAAAATTATTATAAGTTAATAATATCTTTTTAAAATATCAAACATATTCATTATCTGATACAATTTTTATGATAATGAGTACATGTGATAGTGATATCAAAGTATTATGTTTTGGCTAAAAGAATAAACAAGTTTAGGTCATACAACATTATTAGGTATTACATTATCCATTTTTATGAAATATACTATAAATTTAAATTTTATTTGCGAACAATTCTAGGGGATGTACCAGTACTAAATTGATCTGATTAAAACTATAATTGGAGTCATATCTGTATTATTTCATAAAAATAAAGAAAAAAGGTGGTGAAGGAAATGTGCACTGATATGAAAGGATATTGTTCACAAAAAGATAATAACACGGTGTTGTTATCTAAGCATGTTGCATGTGTTATAAGTAATTCATTTTATTTTGACAGGCAAGCGACTACAAGAATGGGTCTGTGTGGTGGTTTGTTGTACGTTATGTATAGGCGCCGGCATCCTGATGGCGAAGCATATTCGGGCGGACGCGTCATTACTACTTGCAGCTCTCGCTGGCGTTCTAACAGCAGATTTTGCTTCTGGTATAGTGCACTGGGCTGCTGACACTTGGGGAGCGGTTGACCTACCCGTTATTGGCAAAGTAATTTGACTCTAATGGATGTATTATTCACGCCTTACGCAGACATGTGCGATCTGTACAGACGTAAGTCTAGGTAACCAAGCCCACAGCAAACGAGACTTATCACGTTGTCTACAAAAAAATATCTGTAACAAGTTGAACAAATAGTAATCTTACTATTTATTCACACCCTACATATATTTTTAAAGGCATTCACAAATTTTAAATAGTTGTAACAGTTTATAGACGCCTTACAGAACCATTAACCACCATTAAGAGCGTTTACACCCAGCGACTTTTAGCAATGAAACGCGCGATTGCATCGCTACACTTGCGATTGCCTCTTGAACACTTGCGATTTATAGACGATTGCATTGATACAAAAGCGCGATTGCATCGATGCAGCTTATGTTAAATCATCATGTGCGAAAAATCTGTAATAAGTTTATTCACATTGTTTTGTCTTGTTAACTGTAGTAATATTACATTGTGTAACATTTAAGAGTTACGATTTGCGACTGCATCGCGACTGAATCGGTGCAGACGCGCTACTAAAAGTCGCAGTGTGTAACAGCTCTAAGTGGTAGATAGATTAATGTTACATTACTAAGCTGTGTGATGGACGTGTACTGAAGGTATTGCCTGTCGGCGCGCTTATTCCTACCAAAAAATTTGCAACCAAGAAAACAAAATAAGAACCGTTCTAATCTACATCATTCTTTCTGTTTACCCTAACTTAACGCTAAGGACCAGGATTATATAGCTCAAAAGAGACGTTGAATTTCACCGTCACTCACGTTAACCGAAATCGAAAATACATTGCAATTTTAGCATACTTGCAATAACTTTGCTCAGGAGTGTCTACATAATTCCCAATGTCCTAATGTATTATATTATATTATAATTATGGTTGCAATAAATATTTTGGCTTTGTCTTGTATTTGAAAATATGAGCCAAATACCTTATTATCTCTACTTTCGAGGATTAAATCATTTACTAAAACTTGAAACACTTGATAGTCTGTTGTCTGAGTTGGGACATACCACGTAGGGTAGCCGCGATTCAGAATGACAAAATAAAACATGTCGCACCTGTCTGTGAAAGGCATAATTTATAAGTAGGTGATTTAGTAGTATCTAATTTTGAGTAGCTATAAGGTTGTGGGCACTTTTTTCCCTGTTCTTGACAAACACGTCTATTTCACATTATACTCTGTGCACTATGACTAATATTCTGTAAGGTGTGGTGGTGACGGTTTAACCTGCTTTATCTGTTCTCTGTTGATTATGGGAATTGCCCTTTTCATTTTGTTTTTTTTAAACCGCGGCATTGTAGATAAACACCGACTATATCTATATTATGAAGTCTTAACGAAAAACTTTTTCAATCGACAACGTTAACCCTGTTAGTATGACATATCTTGGAGGCATTAAGTATAGAAGAATAAAAAAATGAGCCTAAATTGACTAGGTGTTTGTGACGCGAAACGTCTCTCGCCAAAAAATCTGTTAATTACCAAATTATCTCGCGTGGAAAGACAAACATTTTCCTCTGAACAAATGTTTGCAGCATTGTGTAAACCTATTGACATTATTAAAGGTTATTGGAACCCCCGAGCAATATATAACCATCAAAAACATTGCCTTGGAAACAGTTGATTGCGCTTACTTTCAGTAAAGTAAATAAAAAATTCACAACTACATTTCACTTTCTATTTTTCTTTGGTGTAGGAAATTTTGCTTCCGGCCTATACTTTTCCTTCTTGTGTCTTTTAAGTTGTTGGGTATAGCTGTAGACAGCCTTAAAATGATCTTATATAAGAAACATATAATAATACTTATGTTGTGCGTAGTTGCCATTATCAGAGTCATAGCCAGGGTCAGCGTCCGGGCGATTCGAGGTTTTGATGAGATGTTTTTACATTCAGTCTTTCTTAGACTTTCTTATTTTATATGCACTACAGTATACCTACAGTTTAACCGAAGTGGTGAGCGCGGATTGATTGGATCAAAACAACGGTTTTCATCAAATTCAAATTCAAATTCATTCAAAGTAATAACTACGAATCGAATGGTTGTTACCTCCCGGATTTTATTTGTTTTTGCCATTTTTTATCAAAATACTGTAACCTTGCAATTTGCTATTTATATTACACAAGTAAGTTACACTTGCTATCATATTATATGTGTGACATTTTGTGAGTTAAAAATATTCTCCTACACCAGTGCCAGTTAAAATTGCAAACCTGCCTATTGTAAATATAAAGTATGGTGCACGGAATTGCAAAGATTTATAAGTAAGTTACAGAAAACGCGATGTGTAACGCCACTATACGACTTCGGCTCCAACTACTTATACGCACATTTGCAAAATAAAACCTTAGGTTTGGAGTGTCTCAGTACTCTTTTCTGTCTCCAGTACTCTTTTCTTCTATTCAACGATGTTGAAACAAATTATGAACCCACATAGACCCCAAGACTGGAAGCTACCTTGCCCAACGTATTAGCATGACAATACCACAGTATTACAATATCTTCCATACAGTAGCGCAACGACTTTGAAGTTCGTGCGATACCGCCACTCGTGTAGGTACTTATGTACAAGGGTTGTCATACAATGGAAAAAAATGTAATTATTATTATAACGTAATCGTTTATTAACAGTATTTTTTTTTCTATACCTTATAATGAAATTGTTAAAAAGAATTATTAAATATGAATAATCTAGTTATAAAAATTTACAAGTGCGCTGCCAAATATTTACGTGACACTTTATTTTTTAATGTTTTCTGTTATTAAATTTAACCATATGTAGTGTATTCGCATTCGGATGAACAATGTATTGTATATAATGTATTGAAGCACGTGGTAAGTTTAAAACGAATATATCTATATACATGCATCCTCTTTCCCTCGGATACTACTACTAGATAGATACATCTTATTTAATTGTTTAATGTCTTTATCTTCCAAGTCAGGTCTTTGAGAAGCATCTATCCATAACTGGCACCTGGCAAGAAAAATATCCAATAAATAAATATATAAAATATGAGCTGATAGTCTCGAAAACACAAGATTAACATTCACACACACATTGTATACATTAGTGGATCATTATTTATTGGTAAATAAGGCCGTCCACATACAGTCGGAATTCCGTTTCGAAAAATCGATTCGAGAATAACAAGACTCAGCTGAGAGAACCGAGGCATTGAGTCCAGATCTCTCGCAGCGAAAATACGTAGGTACGGAATTTACGACTGTGTGTTGCGGCCCAATAAAATCTACGGAAGACTTGCAACGACTTCGGAACGGAAAATTTCGAAACGGGATTCCAAGTGTATGTGGCTGGCCTAATCAAACATCGCGATGAGGTATAAGGGCGCGTTCCCATTATGACGTGACGACAGATATTCGTGCAGTTTAAAGTGTCGTGCCTTTTATATTGAAATGAAGTTTTTCACATACAGTACAACACGATTAACTGTTCACGACTTTTTTGACGTTGCGATGACAGACTGTCATGACAACTGACAGACCGACAACGTGGGAAATGCTAAAGCAACAGTCTTCAGACGATAAATAAGACGTCACGATAAAAATGTGACGACAGATAATCGCAGCTTCTAACGTTTTTCTCGTGATAAATTGTAGTCTCGCTTTAGAGGAAACAGCCAGACACGACAATGGTTTAACGATAAAATAAAAGTCTACGATACAGTAACGACAGATAGTCGTGACATGGGAACAGGCTGGACGCGACAGTCGTCCAACGATAAATAAAACGGTACGACATAATGGGAACGCGCCCTAAGTGGCCCACACACGTCGCGCGCGGGGCATTCCTCTTTAACTTGAATTTTTAACACTCCTTAACACTCCACAAACAAAGAAACTTAGCAGCTTAGCACCTTTATGGCCCCAAGACTTGCCAGTTCTTAAATGTCATGAAGCCGCATATGCGTTCTTGTGTGCTCTATTCCTTAAAGCATAATTAATAATAAATGACATGATAACCTACTCATTATAACACCTGCCTGTTAAAAAAGAAATACCTAAATAATATCTGCACAACGTATATTTTGTTCTTCACGACCTACGATAAAAGTTGAAATTGATCATTTCGTCTTCTTTTAATTTCTATGGTACAGCGGCTTAGGAATTAGAATTTACTTATACAGGTAGGTATATATGAAGAAACATTATTTCCACCAATGAATGTTATCGCTTGGAACGGCTGATCCTTTCTATTGCAATAGTGTAATTAAACCTTAACACTTCTTTTTCTTAAAGCGTACACGGATTTAATGATCTTGGTCCATCGTACCAGTCATGGGAGCGCTAATGCTTTCTGAATTCTAATTATCAGGTCGTTTATTTTTTAAACTGTATGTACTCCAAAAAAAATCGGCTACCGACTCTTTTCTTGCTAATTCAGCAAAGCGGCACTATACGCGTGAAGATTATCAAGGTCAGAGTTAAATGCCAATGCACTAAAATATTTAGACTAGTTGTTTGCACTGTACTTGCGTTACCGAGACGGTTCACTCTTTTCTCCTATTGTACTTGAAAGATAAAGAGATAAGACGAATTAGTGCCACTACGTACGTAATATACGTATTACAAAAATAGAGGAAAAACTTATGTATGTATATTTCCATCACTTAGCGCTCGACACGCAAAATAAGCTTGTTCGCTCGCCTTTGCCGAAGCCGCCCGACCCCCCTCGAGTGCCCCTTTGTTGGTCTGCACAAGTACGTTGGTTGCGCTACTGTAGGTATAGTTTGTAAAACTGACAATACAAATGGGGAACGCTGCCAGCATTTTGAGTACTCTTGTAGCTTTTGATTGATTACAAATCGATCAAATTTCTTGCCCCATCACCTTTTCAACATTGAAGAAGAATATTAGAGAACACACTAAGTGCGCACTTAAAAGAACTTTAGTTGCTGACTTACACCGGGTACATTTTGCAGAATTTCTTGCGACCATTCCGCGAACATCACATCGATCCAACCTCGATCACGCGTCATGACTTCGTGGAGACGAACGGTGATAACTTTGCTATCACTATTCCCGTGCTGGGAAAAATCGTGTGGCAGCTCCTCACTTACGACAAACTCGTCATCGATGAGCAGTTCCACTGGATTGCTTATTGGTACCTTTGCTGTATTTTTATCGCTATGACAAATCAGGTAAGTTTTTATATTTGCGGTCCAGGCTCCTTTCATTGTCTCCCTTTGTTTATATTAATTGTTTTGTTATACGTAATTACTAAGTAGCTATTCTCGTAGGTGGCCAATTATTTATTGTTCTGATGAAATCGTGGCCTTTTATTAGCTTCATACGTAGATTATGTTGGTACTCACAACTCAAAGCGAGTTTAGAAATGTGTCTTGAATAAAAACAGGCATTCTTGAATAAAAACAGACATTCAACATCGACCGGTACTGATAATAACCGGGGGGACTGATAATCGCTCGTCCGTGTGTCGGTCTCCTTTCAAGATTGTTCACATTGATCGTTAGTAACTGCAACTTTCCGACTTTGTATTTCAGATTCATAAATGGTCGCACACATATTTCGGCTTGCCCGCATGGGTGGTGTTTCTCCAAGAGTGGCACATAGTGCTTCCACGCCGCCACCACCGCATCCACCACGTGGCGCCGCACGAGACTTACTTTTGCATTACTACCGGCTGGCTCAACTGGCCCCTGGAGAAATTACACTTCTGGTCCATTTTAGAGAACATTATCGAAGCTTTAACCGGCTGCAAGCCACGCGCCGACGACATGAAATGGGCCCAAAAGCGTTCCTAGAACACATCCCTGTCGTCAGACGTTTTTATATTAAACTCGTCCACATTTACCAAATCAATTATTAAAAGTAGTAAAATATACGTTTTGCTAATAAAGGTAGTCAAGCTAATGTGATTAGTTAATATGCTGAAGTAATCAAGTAAGTAACTAAGTATACAATTATTTATTTTTGTTTACATGATTTATTATAAAAATTTCTTAAAAAATTGGAAACCATAAATTAAATTTCCTGACTATGAAATTTTTGTTTACATGATTTATTATAAAAATTTCTTCAAAAATTGGAAACCATAAATTAAATTGCCTGACTATGAAATAACAAAAAGCAAAAGTCTATTTTATGGATCAGAAGAGTATTTATATTTGAAGAGAAATAATAATTTTTACGGTGATGTGTGATTTGTAGCTTGCCTAGCTTATTTTAGACCACTAGATGTGGATTTAAGGTACACTAGACCACTATGGTGCTGGTTAACTTGTTTGTTTTAAGCACTTAGGTCAATTGTAAATAATTATACAGATTTATATGATGCTATCGCATAAAATGGTAGACGAGCATAAATAATGTTGAAAACAAAGATTGCTACGGTAATGAGTGCCATTAATTATAAAGAAAATAAATCGAGCCAGTGAAATACCCCACAAATGAACGAGGAACAAAATATAGGATATGCCATATTTTTATTACGTAAATAATTATACTACACATAATAAAGCTAAACTAATTGTATTCTACCTCGCTCTCAGTGCGAAGAATATATTTAAGTGTTATATTAAACTAGAGAGCTTACCTATTGACTATTTATCTATGCTTAAAAATGACAAATTATGTATGTATGAATAAAATGATAATAATAAATAGCAAATAATACGAGGGTGAATCTAATTAATTGAACTTTAAACATGTAAAAAACTGAAATGAGTGCACGTTTAACGATAAATCTCTTCAGTAGTATACGTGACATACCTTATACGTGTATAATTATCAATTTTACGATGAACCACTACAAAATATAACTCGTCATTCTTATAATTACCTAGTTGCATTTCCTTTAAATGAATAAATAAATAGTAAGTTTTACGTGCCAAAGTTCATAATATGTATTCACACAGCATTTATAGACATCATATAAGCCTATGACGACAGCTTAAGATTTAATCTTGATTCACCTTCGTATATGATGGTACCTCAAAAGTTGGTTCTGAGAGTACGTACCTACGTAAGTATATGCCTTATAACTACTATTTTTACACCTAATATAAAAAAGTTGTTTCAAACTCTAGACACGAATAAGAGTTTGCTTAATATTTGTAAAATTTTGATGGAACTTTTACGACGAATCTGTTTCAATAAAATAACGAATTTTAAAACTCTATTGTGTCTGATATGATTATAATACTAATATTCACTATAAGAATTATGCGTGCTGCTGTATCAAGCGTGCAGCTTAACAATAATTGATTTAAGGACAAGTCACGGTAAAGGCCACCAATATGCTGCTCAGCTCAGATAAAACATTAGAGAGTGTAAATAAGGTTTACAAGAGACGGCACTTTCTGATGTTTTTTATACAATTAAAAATTAGCACTAACGTCACTTGCGCCCGCTTGGTATATCGGACACCTCAATGCCTTTGTTGAACGTTCAAAATTGTCAAGTTGCTTTATACCTTTTGGTCGCTACTACATTGTAAAATAATATTGCTGTATTTTTATAATCTCTTTTTACATGACATATAACTACAGTTGTGGTTCTCAGTACGTTATAAGCGATTAATTTTATATAAGTTTGATCTAGTTTAAATGAGAATTCCTATTAATTAAGAACTGTGCAAATAATTACAGTAATTATTCGTAAGTATTTGTAGGGTATTTATAAGGTATTTACTTTTACGATCATGTCAGAAAACTTGTTTTTTTTAAGTTTTTTTGAACGATATCTATGTACTAGCGTTACAGCCTTTGGTTTTATTTTGGGTTATTTGTCTGAGAATCACACTGTCGATTTTAAAATAGGTAGTTATCCATTTGTGATAAACAATAATCAATATTATATGCAATCTAAATTTATACCAAATGGATAGGTACATTTTATGTAACACGTGATTATTTTTTTGCACAACAGATTTAATTGCAAGAGCAATGATTTTGTGAATTGCACAATTTTATTAAATATTTATAATTGAATTCTTGTTTGGCGACATTTATTTGGCTGTACTGCCTGTCCGTCTGCATATCACACTCCTATTACGAGTTCATTTATGCACCTAGTCAGGGTGCCTTTATCGATGACCCAGAACCAAACATATAGGAATGAATTATTACAACACAACGAAAAAGGAACACAGTTTTTTAAATGTTTCTTAACCGACTTCTTGAGAGGAGGCCTATACCCAGCAGTGGGTGTTAACAGGCTGAGATGAATGAATGAACCGACTTCTTGAAACCTCGCTTTGCAATAAATACTTAGCAAATGTAATTTATATAGTTTCAATGAAGTTGATGAATTACCAAACAGCGTTACCATTCTTCGCGACTGCACACCAGTCTTCAGTGAATAATATGCACTTGTATTCTATTACATTCTTATATTTTTACGCTTATACAGAAGGGAATTAAAGATAACAGTGACAGCTACTGGAACTTAACAATGTTCCTGACTACCACACTAATTGCCTGGTCTCAATTCCGTGCTATGAGTACCAGAACAACGGTTTTCACTCTGGCGCACTTCCCAAAAAACACAGACCAGAAACAATTTAGAAAATTTCGTTGCCTTATTTGATCGACATTTGTTACGTAATAGCGATTTTGTAACTAAGGGGACCATAGAAGGCAAAAGAACGAGCCCTTCGGTACAATTGGTCTACTTTCCCGATCGGTCCACTTTCACTATTCGTCTCCTTTCCCAATCGGTCCACTTTCACTATTCGTCTCCTTTCCCGATTCGTCTATTTCCCATTTCGTCTACTTTTCTGTTTGGTCTACTTCCCATTTCGTCTACTTTTCCATTTGGTATACTTTCCCGATCGGTCTACTTTCCCGATAGGTCTACTCAGATAATCTCAGTACAGAGTATTAAAAAACCGACCTCAAAAGTTCGTGGAATCCATTTGCCAAGTTTTATTGAAGTCAGTTACCGGAAAGTGCGCCCTAGTTTGCCACCCTTAGAGATGGAATGTTTTCAAATTTAAATGCACCACTACCGAGGAACCCTCTTTCCAACAAAAATGAATCATCAAAATCGGTTCTGCCGGTGTGTTATCGCGTAGCATACATGAAATACAGTCGAATTGTAAACTTCCTCCTTTTTTTAAAGTCTGTTAAATACAAACTGTCTACTTGATTTTGTTTTTTCACCGTAAAGCGGCTATCATAAAACAATTTGAAAAATGTACTCCATGACAATCTGCAATTATGCAATTACAAACTGCTTTTGAAAATTTTACATAAAATTTTATTAACTTGCAAAGTGAACTATTTGAACAAGTGAACCGATCGGGAAAGTATACGAATAGTGAAAGTGGACCGATCGGGAAAGTAAACCGATTGTACCGAATGGAGAACGAGGAGAGCAAGAATGGCATATGATAAATGAAAGGTCATGGAGCTGGCTATAAACAGTGAGGAGTGAAGGTTACACCCAAAGATGTTGATTTTGAAAAAAAAGCCGAAAAAGGCCACTTCCTGCGTTTTATGGCACCAAATAGTACCAATACTATAAAATATTGATTCATTGCCCGTGGTCCAACCGCGAGAAAATAATTTTTCGTGATTGAAATTTATCCCATGAAATATAACAAAATATAAACATATTATTAATTAACGCAAAATATTAGTATTAGCGTGTAGTTTTTGTTCGCGTTTACATTTTTGGCAAGAAAATATTAAGTACGTACCACAGGAAGCATTCATGCATGTTCCTTTTACATAATATACACAGTAAAACCTACCTACCTTTTACATAGTATAAATTTGTTCCAGTATCAAGTGAGTTTTCTCACAGTTCAAACAGGGTTGCAACACGCACATTTTTTGAATTTGCCGCTATTTCTCAGTCTCAACTTTCGTTTGCCAGATTCTAGAAGCGAATATCTATATCTTTTTTCTTCTATATTTATTTTCATACAATTGCGGTTGCCGCAATCGGCGGCAATATCCGATTGCCGCAACCTGTGTCAATTCTGTATGAAAATAGAATATTCGCTTGTAGTTGCCGGTGCTTGTATCCAACAAAGACACACATATGCGCCTCGCCTATTTAAATATGTTTCATTTAGGATGGATTAAAACGAGTCATGTCGAGTGTACGTGAATAAGACTTGTTTTGTTATTAGGTACGACCACAGACATAATTATCTAGATAGACGCCGCAAGTAAGTGTACGTACTTCACGTGCCCAAAGTAAGTGAAATTCACTTATTTGCCGCTGCTACATTTCAGAACGCGCTCGACCATTATCGTAGATAAACACCGGTCGAAAACGCGAAAAATGCATAATTGTGCCATTATAAACTGCAAAAGCACCATCTGTGATTAAACGAGTAAACAGGACGTTTCCTTCCACGAGCAAGTGATTTTGTTTTATCAGAAGATGCATAATTTATTTTAAAAAACAATTATTTTGGTTTTGTACGAATTTCGAGAAAACAACTATGCAACCGAGTGTATGTCTCATTTCTATAATACATTGCGACTTTTACTTGGTGCGACATATTTGTAATCCTTTGTTAATACGCCATGAAAATCGAACGAACGCACTTTTGTATAATGCATTCAGCTTCGTGGTAAGGCCGCTTGTACATTTCTTTGGCCAAATTTAACATTTAGTGATGTATACGTTAGGCAATGTTCTCGATTTTGAAAACAAAGGGACGGAAATTATTATGACCTTAGCAATATTATTAAAATATTCTACAACTCTTTTGTGATAACGTTTAGTAACGTTTCGTTTTTTTTTTCAGTTTTGTAGTATCTATTATCAGTAGTATCTGTAATTTCGATAATTTTTGCAGTACGTTGCCTCGAATGTCCGAATATAATGAGCAAATAATTACATACATCGCCGGATATGTAGTATGATAATACAAAAAAATATAATAATGCAAAGAATTAACATTATAAATTTTCCATATAATAATTTTTTTTTTAATCCGTTGGATTTTCAGGTATGCTTAAATGTGCTGGAAAATGACATCATAGTATCAATAACTGACAAACAAGTTTATTTATACTATCCGTCCACTAATGGCACGCAAATTTTGTATTCAAGATCGCTTTCAACTCGACCCGATTATTTCAAAGATTTGTTATGAAATCATCATGTACTTTTAGATAGTTTACTGCCTAATAATAGATGGAAAGTTAGTCTATGTAGTTCCTACTCGGCCCAATTCGGATTGGGAACTTAACACATATCGTAAAATTGCTTTGCAGACGATATTTTCCTTCATCGAAATGCTCATAGTAAATTTCATCGGTTAATAGGCAAAACCATCGAGTATATAACCAGAAATAGAGACGAAATAAGGGTCACCCATCCCTGGCAACTCGTCAGGCAAATGGGCCTTATATGACTTTTAAATATCTCGTTTGCGCTGAAATCATAAATTAGAAAGCTGTAATAGTACAGCGCCAACAACTTACCTGTCTGTACGTCTCCGCATATTCTAAAAATATTCTGTAGTTATTGTAATAAATATAATATCGGTAAGTATGGGGACTGTTCCATTCGGTGGTGTGGGAAAAGCAGCAAAACATGTAATTACAAAACAAACCGAATCACATTTCATCGGTAATGAAATATGTAATTTTTAATTTTCGTCCAGTATAACAAAGCTCAAGTTAAACTAGTCAATTTGAGCGAAACAATCGATGACACCCGTCAATTGTTTCGAATTCGGGCTGGCCAATCGGAGCGCAGTTGTCACCGTAATGATTTGGCAGAATAGTTTTCAAATAAATTAAATGGCATTTCATCTCTAATACATTCGATGGGTAGAACTCTCTATATGAAATTTTCATCAAAAATGAGATTTTTGTATTTTTGTTTAATTGGGAAGTAGATCTACGATGTGCAAAATTCAGTAAGTGCGTAGTGTTCTTCATTATAGAAAAAAGCACCTACAGCTTTTCAAAAACATGGAGTTGGTCATATGTATGAGTTCGTTGCTTTCGAGGACGAAGGGGGTCTAGTTTATTCCACCTAAGATGCTATCCAAATATACAGAGTTGCAGAGTTAGAAATCCGAGAGAGTTAGAAAAATTTCACACGTGGCCGTCATTAAGTAAACCTCCTCTGATTAATAAGATTTTATCATATTTTGTCAGCTGTAACATTTCATTTGTCTTGGTATTATCAATTTGATCAATTACCAACAAAAAACCATCTAGTAAAATTAATTAAGGCAGTCGCAAGTTCATATACTGACGTGTGTAGTCATTATTTAAGTTAATCGATAAGATCTATTACAAAAAGACGTTATGTAATAATCTCATTTTATTGGAAAGACTATAATTTCAATATTTGAATTCGATTAAAAATTAAAGTAAGTAATCAACATTTTTTTTAAATTAGTAAAATATTAACTTAACTATCTTATTCTAGTATTTTTCTACTATATTATTATTACGACTACTTGTAATTAACAAATACTTGAACAAAAATTATTCTAATTAGAATCGATTAGTTGAATGGAATACGCGTGTTTACGCGTAATCCGTTCAATCAATCGATTTAGAGCGAGCGGAAGGAGGTTTACATCACTAAATACACAGACATATATCTAGATAGACGCCGCAAGTACAGCAATTTGTATGAAAACCGAGCGTGCCACATTTTATGTATCCACCATGACGTCACAAGAACTATTCAGTGATGGAAAACCTTCTTTCGCGCTAAATCGATTGATTGAACGGAATAGACGTTTCCATTCAATTAATCGATTCCAGTATTCGTTGATTACAAGTAGTCCTGAAATATTAAACAGTAGAAAAATACCAAAACAAGATAGTTAAGTCCTTTATTAAAAGTTGTTTTAAAAAAAAAATTATCACTTAATAATTTAAACTTAAATTTTTAATCAACTTCAAATATTAAAATTACTGTCCTTGAA